AGTACAACTCATGGTGACCCTAAGAACAAATGATCTGAACCCTGTTCTGTCCTGCGCCATCCTCACACTTCCTGACACGCAAAAGTCCCTTGCAGCAGTCACCATGTCCGTCCACTTAGTTGAGGGTCTTCCTCTCCTTTTCTGACCCTCCATGCTTCCCCTTAATGCATTAATGATAATTAGTGATTGGAATGCAAAAGTAAGAAAAAGTGAAGAAGGAATAGTAGTTAAAAATAGGGGCTTGATGATAGAAATGAGACTGAAAATAGAATGATTGAATTTTGTATTTACAATGATTTAGTCATTGCAAATACCTTTTTTAAAAGACACAAACAAGGACTTTACATATGGATCAAACATATTTCTTGGGAAAAGAGCATTTGGAGTGCTCCTTGGAGGCAAGGATGGCAAAGCTTCATCTCTTATTCTTTGGACAAAGGGATATCATGCCTGGAAGGATGGAGGGTCAGCTAGAGAGAGAAAGACCCCGGAGAGTTGGATTGACACCTGATGGGCTGCGTAGGAATCAAGTTGACTACATTTGTGGAAGAAATCATTGGAGAAGCTCAATGTCAGCAGTCAAAACTAGGCCATGTGTGGACTGTGGGTGAGATCATCAATTAGTAATCATCAATTAGTAATATGCAAATTCAAATTGAGGCCGAAGAAATTGAAAATAAGTCCACAGGAACCAAGATACAATCTTGAAACAATTCCATCTTAATTTAAGATCATCCTAAGAATAGGTTTGAGGCATTGAACACCAATAACAGAAGGCCACATGAGTTGTGGGATGATATCAAGGATATCATCCATGAAGAAAGCAACAGGTTATTACAAAAATGGAAGAGAAAGAAATTATAAGTAGACATATATTTTATTGAAATGTTTTTCTTCAGAAGTCTCTTGATTTTCAGGGTTATGAGGACTCAGTTTTAGCAATTTATCTAATGAATTATTATTTGAAAAACACTGACAATATAGCTTTTAATATTAAAGCATTAAGAGATGGGCTTTTGGTTTTGTTGTGGGTTGGGGTTTTTTACTCTTTAGCTTCAAGAAACTTTTTATTTAAAAACAGAAAAAGCTTAAATAAACTTGACAAATAAAATGAAAACCAAACATGTTCTTACCTCCTAACTCTTGCTGAATATATTTAGCCTGGCTTGAATTTATCAAGCCACTTAAGAATATATTTATTTAGTTAATTTATTAAATTTTATATCAACCTCTGATGTATATAACATCCTAGCTCTGCCCCTGGATTGAATTATGTTCAAGATGAGCTCTGTAATTGTAATAGATGTAAATATAAAATACTGCCAAGACTGCTTTTAACCTTTTCAATTGAGTCCATTTTGACACATAAGTGTTTTATACTGTGGAGTTGGAATTGACCCTCCAGTGGGTTTTCAGAGGCAGGAAATTGCATGCGAGGAGATTGCCCATCTTTCTCTTATGGAGCAGCTATTAGATTCCAACCACATACCCTATGTGTGAACAGGACAATTCATTACCAGTAAGCCACCAGAGCTCCCTTTAAATTCATAGAGACCCTGTAAGAAAAGAGTAGATTTGCTCTATAGAATTTTTGAGGCTGAAATCTTTATAGAAGCACATTACCTGTTTTAGGAGATCCAGATTTGGATGTTGAATATTTCAACCCTAAAACTTTGTCACAAGGCACAAAAAGAAAAAAAATATTCCTCTATTTAAATTTTGTTGTTTATAGTGAAGAGAGATTGGCATAGTAGAAAAGGCATGAGTTTTGCAGTGTGGCAGACCTGAATTTGAGTGCTACCACAATGATCAGATGTGTTGTTGTTGTTGTTATGTGCCGTCGAGTCGCCTGCGACTCATAGCAACCCTATG